CTGGCTGGGGAATTCTGGGAGTTGAAGTCCACACATCTTAAAGTTCCCAAGGTTGAGAAACACTGGTCTAAACAATCAACTCTTGTCCTGTTCACCTTGCCCTGTTTTATGTCCTTCCCCCTTCCCTTGCTTCTGTTAATGGCAGAAGAGCGCACATAACAAACCCAAGTTCTTCCTCCCCCAATTCCCCTCAAAAGGATCTGAGGCAGCAAGCTAAGATCCCTGGAGAGCCTTTACCAATCAGGACAGAGGGCTCCAAGCCTGCTAACTGGATCCTGAGCTACCTCCCAGGCCCAAAGTCCAAGATCAAACAGCCTGGGAGATCTCAGTGGTGATGTGTGAGCTGTAGGCTACTAGAATGCTTTTTTCCTATAATGTTCCTACAACGTTTGTTTGTTTGCTTGCTTTTTAATTTAAAAAGGAAATAACCATCACCCTATTTTCAGTTCAACCTTCACTTGGGTGTAATGCTTATTACTGTAACACCTTCACTGAAAATTCAGGGTTAAAGTAGACCTCTCTGGTTTCCAATGTTTCTTAAACTGGGCAGCTGGTACATGTTTGGACTCCAACCCCCAGAATCCTCAGCAGTGGCTGTGCTGGCTGGGGAATTCTGGGAGTTGAAGTCCATACTCAAGAAGTCACCAAGACTGGGAAACACTGCATCCCAAACCCTTTTCTTTTGCAATAAATCTGAAGAACGAACCTGGGGATCTACCGTTCTTGTTTTTGAGCTGCTGTTTGGGATTGGACAGATATAAACAATGGTGAACAGTGAAGATGATCAGACTCCCACCCAGATCAGGCCCCTAGAGATGCCCAAAGAGACCTCTCACGCACCAGAGACATGCACCACTTTCTTCCGTTCTTTCTGGGCCAGTGCAGGCTGGCAGGAAAGCACGAGGAGATGGAAAAGACAGGAGAGCAAATATCGTCCTGGAAGCATCTAGCAGAGAGACAAAAGGAGTGTAAATAGAGCACCATAGACCAGTAATGGCGAGCCTATGACATGTGTCATGTCAAAGGTGACACGCCATGATGTTTTGGGTGACATGCCAGCATTCACCAATGACTGGTTGGGGAATTCTGGAAGCTGAAGTCCACACATCTTAAAGTTCCCAAGGTTGAAAAACACTGGCCTAAACAATCAACTCTTGTCCTGCTCACCTTGCCTTGTTTTGTGTCCTTCACCCTTCCCTTGCTTCTGTTAATGGCAGAAGTGCACACATAAAAAATCCAAGCTCTTTCTCCCCCAATTCCCCTCAAAAAGATCTGGGACAGCAAGCTAAGATCCCTGGAGAGCCTTTGCCAGTCAGGACAGAGGGCTCCAAGCCTGCTAACTGGATCCTGAGCTACCTCCCAAGCCCAAGCCCAAAATCTGGGTTCTGGGTTCCAAAATCATGCTGGCTGGGGAATTCTGGGAGTTGAAGTCCACACATCTTAAAGTAGTCAAGGTTGAGAAACACTGAGTTGGAACATTCGCTCCTATTACCCTATATGGGGCGAAAATCCACAGGATTATCCCAGTAACATTTGGATCATCACCAAGGTTGTTTAGGTCATCTCCCAGGTATGTTTGGAATCTATTAAACCAGAAAAGAATTGTGGGTGTTTCTTAATCAGTTACCCACAGATAGCTAAAATGTTCATATTCTTCCACAAGATAGTGTATGGGTGTTTCTTGTGGAAAAAAAATGAAAGTGGCTGTACTCCTTTTGTTATATAGAAGACAGAGCTGGAAATACTGCAAAACCAGTATATTAAGGATGAATGAAAGGGCCAAGAGGGAGAGGATGTCTGAAAAAGGGAGAGTGGATGAAATTATGGAAAAGAAAGAGGTGAAAAGTTTAAAGAAGGCAAATGTATGAAGTGGGGTATGGATGTGGTGGATGCAAAGGTGGTTTGCATGCAAAGAAATTTATATAGAGAAATATTAAATGATGTTAGAGTAGTGTAAACAAGGTTTAACTATTTCCTTTTCTTATCTATGCCTTGTAATTTCTTGGGCTTCCTGTTTCTTACTCCTTTTTTGTACTGAATAATGTGGCCTTCCCCAGAAAGGAATAGATGGTGGAGATAAATTTATATCAGTGTTTTTCAACCTTGGCAACTTTAAGATGTATGGACTTCAACTCCCAGAATTCCCCAGCCGGCATGCTTTAAGATGTGTGGACTTCAACTCCCAAAATTCCCCAGCCAGCATGCTTTAAGATGTGTGG